TAGAGTGAGCTGAGGCCGGGCTAGCGTGAGCGGAAGCCCTGGCTTAGCGTGAGCTGAGGCCGGGCAAGAGTGAGCTGAGGCGGCGGGGTCGAGAACGGCGGTCCCGGCGAAGGAGCGTTGAAAACGGTGAGGGCCGATCCGGCGATCCACAGCACTAAGTTGATGTATTTCCTCAGCGACCAGCACGGATCAGCTCTAGGCATGACGAAGCGGATATCGTCCTCTTTTGGAAGGCCAACCAAAGTAGTTTCGCTTTCACAACGAAGCACACAGCGTCTTCAGGACATGGCTGCAGCGTCAACAATACTACAGTGAGAATTAAAGTTACGCCTTCTTTCTTTGCTTGAACATTTGGGCGGCGTTATGCAAATTTTCCCACATCGTGACGTAGACATGTGGGTGCGTGTTAGAACGAGCCGTTTTAGGTAGGCGTGGCTGACTCTTAACTTTTATAAAGAATATCTCTTTGGATTTGAGACTTTAGTCTTTGCAACTTTACAGATCTTCTTTATGCACCAAGAGCTTGTAACACTCCAAAGAGAAAGGAAAAATTGAAATCGCATCATATGACACCTTTAAGTTCAGTAAAACTGAACCTTATCAAATGTGTGTAATTCTACCTGTCACAACTTTCAGGAAGCCTAAAATAAAGAAAAACCGAAAAAGGATTCCATTTGTTAAGCAGTTTACAGACAAAACTTGTTTCAGGGATTTCGAAGAATGTTTTTCACTTCTGTTTTGGACAAAAATTATAGGTGTGTCAAGTTAAAAGAGTGAAATGATTAATTGCTCAAGACAAGCACAGTTTGTCTCATTCTTTGCTTTCAAAAACAACCTCTTTCAACAGATTGCTTATGCTTTGTGCATGACATTTGCAGTAATATAATTCTTAGAGTTTGGTCATATGAGTCTAATCTTCTGTTTTTAATAACTTATGATCCATGGTCCAACAGAAGGGGCCAGTTATAATACATGTTGATGAACTGCCAAAGTATAAAACCATGCTGTTATTTTTGCCAAAAATAATTTAATGAGGAATAGCTATGTGGTGAAGTGTGCCAGTGGCTCAACTAATAGTGACTGTAAGCTTTGCATCAAAAAGCAATGTTGCTAACACATTATTTTTAAAGGATAGCTCACCCCATCAACATTTCTTCACCTTCAGTATAGGTATAGGTTTTTTAGGGAAAACAAAAGAAGATATTTTGTGAAATGTTTCAGTGTTTTTTGGCAGAGCTTGTCCCCATTGTCCGCTATGATTATATAATGGATTTCGCAATGTAGGGAAAAAAAACTAAACATACTTAATCATCATATCTAGATGACACCAGATCATGCTGATCATCAAAACCTGACATCAGCCCATCGTTAGTCATCAAGCTCAACTCAAAGCTGAGGTCGAAAGTCCTGATCATGTAATAGTGGTAATGTGGTGTACACTTTGTCCTGAGCTCAGGTCATTCATGCATTGTCATGCATTTGCTGAACACCAAGACGTGTACGTAAGAGCTTTTCTGTGTAGATCACTGCTTGGAGAGTTGTAAAAGCAAGACATGGCATTTTTTTTGCATGCCTTCTTAATATTATTGGAATGACTAACTGCTGCTCAGGTCCACTGCTGTGTCTGTGAAAGCAGATGACTGACGATCAGAGCATCTCTGTCATATCATTTTAATGCTATTTAACACTATAGGTCTGAACAATAATTATAGCATGATAGTATTTGCACTGCAACCAACAAGATATGTTGTCACACTCTGTGGTCCCTTTTTTAAAAACATAAAAGTGTAACAAAATAATAATAATAATAATAATGAGTAAATAAATAAATAAATACAAGATGAGCTAAGAGGGCTGGCCTACATCCCTTACTGTATTTAGCAGTGTTGTAGTTTAGCAGTTTGTAATAAGGTCAGCCGCAACATAACTGTGTCTACGCCTTTTCATTGCTAATTTTTCACTGCGTGTTTTTAGTAAATCCTGATAGCACTTTTTTAACGCCAAAAAAAGGGTTTGCACTGGTGCTAAATCCGGCCCTATACTGTATGTATGAACAAAAATTAAACAAAGTAACTTCATTAATGAAGAATTAAGGTGCATTTATACTTTCCAGACTGAAAATTACAGTTTTAAATCACTAATGAAAAGTTGGATAAAGGAAAAAAATAATTAAATACTGGTAGTATCAAACCATTTCTCTAACAGATCAAATTCACTTTTTTCCCATAAGAGCTTATGCATTGGACCACTCAATTTAACATATTATTAATCGAAGCAAAATAAAAGGTACCATTACTACCTTCCTATGATGTTTGTTTAGTCAAGTCAGTCGAAATCAAGCTCCATCATCAGACAACATAACCATGCCAACCAGTTCCCAGCATTGCACGATTTAATGAAGTGGTAAGATGTAACCGTTTAATCGTTAACCCAGGACAGATATTCACATCGACTCCTTCATCATACCTGGGGAAAAAAAAGAAAAAAGTTTTAGTTTATAAATCATGCATGATTCCTCCCTAATATCTAAGATATATGGATACAGCTAATACAAAATTAATTATTGGGATCTCAACGGTGTGATTCCTGTAATACTGTGCTTAATATGCTGCATGTTTGCATTCCCAGACCGCCATGCAAACATACGACTGCAAAGGACAGGAAGTCTTCACCAACGGCAGCTCTGGCTATATGAACAGCAAAGATGTGACCAGGATGCGGGAAGTGGCCTTTGAGAAGAACTCCTCTGAGCCACTGGTATATGCGTTTTATTTTATTCATGTGTTTCATTAAAATGATGAACTGACTAATTCAAGTACTTTTTTAACATACAAAGAGGAATAGAATTAAACTCATTGAAGTCATTAAATTATTTGAAAGAAATAATTCACCCAAACATGTTCCATTCTGTTATAACTTACTTGTGTCGTTCAAAACTTGCATGCTGTAATTACTTTTTTTTTTTCCCATGGGACACAAACGGAGTATTAAATATTAAGATTTGTTATTCAATTTGTGTTTTGTTCTTGTTCAGGGTGTAACTCTTAAGCTGAATGAAAGGCAGAGGTGTACAGTGGCGAGAATATTGCATGGAGGGATGATACACAGACAAGGTACAGTGAATAATATTCAGTTTCCATACAGCACAATGGATAACTGCTGATGACAAACCTTTTATTTATTAATGTTTTTAACAGGTTCTTTACACGAAGGTGATGAAATCGCAGAGATCAATGGGAAAAGTGTTGCTAATCAAAGTGTAGACCAACTACAGAAGATTCTGGTGGGTTGTGTTCTCATTTGTGGACACACACTGTACAGTCCCTTATGAAAAAGTAGTAAATTTTAAGCATACTTTTTAAAAGAACATTTATTACGAATAAAATGCACTAATAGAATATACTTACGTGTGAACTGAATGTAATGTTTTTGGAGGCTTAATTGGATGTTGTTTAAAAATAAATGAAAATATATTAGACTTTATATTATATGCAGTTAGTTTTGTGTAAGTGTGCTTTCTTGGCCCATTGGAGTAGGACATAAGTACACATTTATGCAAAATTTCATAATTCTGTTGTCTTTGAAATATGGTTAAAGGGGTGGTTCACTGGGTTTTTTATAGGCTTGATTGTGTTTATGGGGGGCAGTCTAACATGTGTTAATGCTTCGTTTTTTTAAAAACGCATTATTTTTCACATAATTTACATTTTTATTTCACACCTCTCTGTAGCCTGGCACAAACGGC